CCCCCCACCAGCCCTGGCCGATGGTAGGGGCCACGCAAAGCTGTGGAGCAGGAAAGGCGAGAAGAGTCCAAGAGGAGGAAGAGTCTCAGGGCTTTGAATCCCCAAGTTCCTGGGGCGTTTCCCAGAAGAAGGCGGCAGCTACTCGGGGCCAGGCACTGCCCTGGGATTCTTCCTTATTGTAACCAATGTCATCAGAGACACCAGGGACACGAGGCCCAGAGTGGTCAAGTCCCATAACTTAGAGGAAGAGAGGACCTCAGAAGTGAGCCCAGGGAGTCTGTCTTAGCTCACATTCTTTTTCTTTTCTCTTCTCTTTTTGGTGCCAGGGATTGAACCCAGGGGTGCTTAACCGCGGAGCCACATCCCCAGCCCTTTTCATTTTTCTATTTTCAGACCAGGTCTTGCTAAGTTGCAGAGGCTGGCCTCAAACTGGCCATCCTCCTGCCTCAGCCTCCCAAGCCTCTGGGATGACAGGTGGGCGCCAGGCTTAGCTCACATTCTTAACTACTCTACTCACTTCCTCTCAAGCCTGGGATGGCAGATTTCTGCGAAGGACCAGGTAGTAGATATTTGGGGCTCTGCAGGCCATTTGGGAAACCACCTGTACATAGCATGTAAAGGAAGGTGTGTTCCGATAAAACTTTATTTATAAAAACGGATGTGGGGCTGCATCTGGCCCACGGGCTGCCGTTGGCCAGCTCCTGCTCCTGTACCCGCTTTGGCTGTGGAGCATAAGCCCTGGGTGCTGTCTGCAGTGGCTCTGGCAGGCCTGGGTTTGGCTCAGCCAAGGCGATGGAGCAGGGGGATCCATGGGAGTCTGTGTGACGGAGTGGTTAAGTGTTGGGGACTTTGGAGTCCCTTAAGGGTTTTGTCATGGAACTGCAAGGCACGGTCCTCTCGGTCCCCGTCTCCTTGTCTGTGCCTGTCCTAGCTGATCCCTAACGTAGTGAAGACTACACGCAAGAATGTGCCCAGGACCCAGCGTGTGGGACAGAGGAAGATCTCCGTCAGTGACAGGTGGCAGTGTCTCCCTTAGGCCTGCCCCAGCGTCCTCAACTTCCCCACAGCCCTTGAGCGGAGAGAAGAGGGTGTTCTCCGAATGGGGACTGGGTGACGTCAAGTCCAACAGAGCAGAAAAGCAGAAGAAAAAGGAGAAAAGGAGAAAAGCAGAAGCCACCTGTCCAGACACAGGGCTCCTCTCCATGTCCCCTCCCTTGTCTGAGGCGATGGGGACATTCTCAGGGTGCTAGACACCTTCTGGTCCCTCTGCCCTGGAGGCCAGTTGAGGTCACTGGAATTCTCTTTGCTGAGAGTCTGGCTGCGCATCACCAGAGTGCCAGTTGGATCAAGGTGGGACTGCCCAGGGTTCAACCCCTGGCCACAGCAGACCGGCTGCTGGGCTCTCGGAATCACTTCAGCAGGTGAACATGAATTAACGCACCTGCGCAGTGGGAACTTCCTTCCCTTTCCATCAGAGACCTCTTAGATCTTGGCCTCTTGGGTTAGTAAAGATGGCGGCCTCCATAAAGAAGTCAGTGGGGTCTTGGAAATGCATTAGAAGGTAAGTTTTTTTTTTTTTTTTGGAGTCGGGGATTCAAGATAGGGGCACTTAAAATGGTTAAGCCACATCCCCAGTCCTTTTTTTGTATTTTATTTACAGATAGGGTCTTGCTAAGTTGCTGAGGCTAGCCTCAAACTTGCAATCCTCCTGCCTCAGCCTCCGGAGCTGCTGGGATTGTAGGCATGGCTACCAAGCCCAGATAGGAGGTAAGTTTTTCCTAGGAAGGTATAAGATCCAGAGATCTCACTGATGAAGAAATAGTCATAAAAATAATCATAATAATGATAGCAATTATTATTTAAAAATTTTTTTAGTTGTAGATGGACACACTATCTTTATTTTGTTTATTGTTTTTTATGTGGTGCTGAGAATCGAACCCAGGGTCTCACGCATGCTAGGCAAGCTCTCTCCCGCTAAGCCACCACCCCAGCCCGATAGCAATTATTTTAATAAACATTATTATTTGGACAATGTCGAGCCCTGTGTCCTTGAATTTTATTTTCCCAGCCGTCTTGATGGGCAGATTCTTTTTAGTAACTGTGAGGAGTCTGAGGCCTACGGAGATTAAGCAGCTTGTCCTGAGTCACTGTCATTGACCCCTGGGTCATAAAAGTAGGCAACACGGCCACTTGTGACTTTTATAACTAGTTCAATGAAGTCGGAATGTGGGGATGAGGGTGTGGTGGACGTCTGTGGATCCTCAAGATGTCAGAATTACCCCTGGATTTTTCTGTGCTTGCTATGTGCCACACGTGTCCTTCTTTTCGGGCTAGTTTGAGTTTGTTTTCTTCCACTTGGACCAGTCCTACCTGAGACAAGAGGGTTTTCCATTTCAAACCACGGTTACAGCTGCAAGAAGGTCTCCGGTTCAACTCCGGCCCTCTCCCTTCCCTCCTGCGGTTTGTACTGGGTCGACGCCAAGGGGACCCTAACCACTCAGGGCGACTCTTGACGGTGACTTCAGCAACAGGCTCCTTCCTGATGGCTTCCCCAAGCTGAAACCACACCACTCCTGACAGACATTTTTACCAGAATGTTCTTCCAGCAGAACCGACCTGCCTGCACAGAGATCCAAATCTTTGGCACTGGGCTCTGTCCTGATTCTCTGTCACCTCCCTGCCTCCGTGCAGGTGACCTTTGCTACCAGAGGAGTGCTCACCTCTGCCCCTCTGCTTTTTGGAACGCAGCCCTGAGGCCTTCCTGGACCTGGAATGTTTGGCCACAAAGCCTCTCTGTAACCGTCCCTGCCCTGCGACCTGGGGCAAGTTAGTCACCTCACCTAGGGCTCAGGAGTCATCTGTAAAACGGGGACAGCAAGATCTGCCATGGAAAGTCGTTGTGTTCAAATGAGCAAATCCCTGGACACCCTGGAGACACAGAGCCACCCCTCCCTGGGGGTCGCTGTCATGGTGATCACGTGGAGCACGCACACCTCACTCACGCTCTTCCCCCAACCCCTTCCTCTCAGTCCTTCACTGACTTTTTCTTTTTGGTACCAGGGATTGAACCCAGGGGTGCTTCACCACTGAGCCCCATCCCCAGCCCTTTTTTATATTTTATTTAGAGACAGGGTCTCACTGAGTTGCTGAGGGCCTCACTGAGTTATTGAGGCTGGCTTTGGACTCGTGATCCTCCTGCCTCAGCCTCCAGAGCCACCAGGATGACAGGCCTGCACCACTGCGCCTGGCCTCCACCCAACTTCCTGAGACACCATCTCATCGTTTCTAAAAGCCTAGTACCTTGCCTAGGGCCTGCACACAGTAAGCACTCTGTTTGGACAACAGCACTGTTCTGTATTCTGCACCTACTAGGTGCGGAGATCTCATGGTAGGTCTTTTATGCACCCTTTTGTTTTCAAAATTCACCTGAGTCGAAATTCACACCAGTCCCCCAAGGAGCGCCCCCATTAACCACCATCCTTTTGAGATAACTGGGGAGGCGCAGCCAAGTCCAAAAGAGGAGTCACAGATGGGGCAAAGGCCAAGCTGAGATTCAGAGGTCAAAGGTCATGGTGCCACTCCCCCGCCCCCTTTAACTTCTTTCTACAACTTTGTCTCCCAAAGCTGCACCCGGGGAAAGCAAATGGCAGAGTTCCTGCTTTCTAGAGCCCTGGGGACACCAGGCCAGGTGGGGCCATCAGCTGCCTGCTCCCCAGGCCGCCCACTCCGAGCCTGGCGATAGGAGGTGGGCTGGTCTCACCTTGGGAGGAGCAGCCATCCCCAGCGCTTCAGTGCCGATGAGAGCTGGGCCTCAGCCAGCTGGGCCTCTCTCGGAATGGGGCGGCTGCTAGGCAACCAGGCCTAGGCACAGGAAGCACTATGCACAGGATGACCTCGAGATGGAGACACCCCTAAACCTGCAGATGTGCAGAAGCAGGCACGGAAGGATGGATTGGGACCAACGCTGGGCAAGACCAGCCTGTTCCCCATGGCGGTGCTTGGGCTGGGGACCCCCCCCCCCCACCTCACTCCCGCCACCAGCTGTTTCCCTCTCTGGCCCTGAACTGGCCTCTCTTTCTTCCCTCCTCCTCCTCCTCTTTGATCCTCCACTGTGAACAATACATAATCCCCCTGCTGTTCCCCTCTCAGGTCCCAGCATGACTCTCAGGATAACTCCATGTCACAGGTCAAAACTGTTTGGAAATGACTCTCTATCCTCACAGAGGCGATGAGCAGATGAAGTACATTACTAAATAAAGGGAACCTAGCTCATAATAGGGGCTCGTCCACGAGTCCTCGTGGTCCTCACAGAAGCCGAGGCAGAGCCACAGGGATTCATAGTGGATGGTCAGATCATTGTTCCCATTTTAAAGATGAGAAAGTTGAGTCCTATAGTGAATGGAAGGGACCAGCCCGACATTACCCAGCCAAGACAATCTCTCAAGACCATGCACCTTGGTCATGACTTTTCAAAGAAAAATGAGATTTGAAGCCAAAGAACAATATATTTCCCTTCTTTATTTTTTTTCTTATTTGTGTGACTCATAAAACTCTATGATCAGAATATGTGCTTTTGATTCAATAAATGAATTCATTCAATAAATGAATATACGTGAAGGGGTCCTGTGGTGAAGGAAGAAACCCCACCAAAAACCCACTGGGTTATCCAATCTCTGGCATATGTGCCCCCATCTCCTTCCCGTGTCCGTCGCAGACATAACTAATCAATGACAGCACACCTGTGCACCGAGCTGGATCCCACGTTCAGAATCCTTCTCCAGGCAGCCCACCATCCATTGAAGGGCTTGGCCTCCCCTGATGAAGGCTATTTGCCTTCCTCAGTCTGACCTCAGAAATCTTCTCAATTATGTGGTTTCCATGTTCATGTTCTCTCTTGGCCTCTTAAACACTCCATTTCCCACCCTCTCCACCTCCATGATTCTTTCTCTCAATCACATGGAACAAGAGGTTCAGCCCTTTCCATTCGGGCAGAGACATACCTGAGGGCCCCGCGATCCTGCTTTCCTGCTTTGGTGGAGAAGGTGAGATGGTCCACTTGCTGCTTTGGGTCCCTGACCCAGCTGATGGCCGCTCTGATGCTCAGAGTCCAGCCTCAGGGGGCCCGGGGGCGTCCAGCACTCTCCAAGTGGAGACCTGGAGCAGGCTGAGTGGATGGCTGCTCCTGGCCCTGCCCAGGCTCTGCCACTCTTGAAGGAGGTTTGCCATAAACTTTTCATGCTTTGTTAAACAATCTCACCAGGAAGGAGGAAGTTTGATTTAAGTGCTTACTTAAGTGCTTACTTTGGAGGAAATGAGTGTATAGTCTTGCCCGAACCTGGAAGAAGGGTGTGCCTGTCCTCTTCCCCACACAACTGTCCTGGGCTTGGGCAGGGAGGCTGGTGTGTGTGTGTGTGTGTGTGTGTGTGTGTGTGTGTGTGTGTGGAGAGAGAGAAATACCACAACCTATCTTAAAAGAAGAAATGAACCCCCCCCCCAAATAGTCAACCCCATGCTGATAACCTCCCCAGGTCACAGGGTGAAGGTGGGGCAGGTAGAACAAGATGGTTAAGGTACTGGTCACCTGCTCAAGGCTCAGGACTGGGGAGGGGCTGCTGGAGGCGCTGGTGGGAGGAAGTGAGCCTGGGACACAAAAAAAGGTAGAATGCAGGCAGGGGGACAGCAAAGAAGGAGGGGGTCAAACGTAGATCCTGAGCCTGATGGGGCACGGTGGTGCACGCCTGTGATCCCAGTGACTCTGGAGGCTGAGGCAGGAGGATCACAAGTTCGAGGCCAGCCTCAGCAACTTAGTGAGGCCCTGAGCAACTCAGTGAGACCCTGTCTCTAAATAAAATATAAAAAAGGACTGGGGATGGGGCTCAGTGGTTAAGCACCCCTGGGTCCAATCCCTGGCACGTGCACACACACACACACACACACACACACACACACACACACACAATGACATACATAAGAGCTTTGGAACCACACAAAATCTGAAGATTCAAGAAGAGCCAGATGGTCAAAGCTAAATCCCCTCTTTATGGGGGAGAGGGACGTGTACTTGTGTGTGTGAGGGGGAGGGTGTTAGCAACAAATTACAGGCAGGCTGCAGAGCCTCACTGAGAAAGAACAGAGTGTCTTGTTAGGCAGATGAAGTCTCCCACAGAGGAATTCATGAAAACTGTCT